GAACTCAATATAGAACCATTTGAAAAATAAAATTACCAAAACAGAATCCCCAGCATTACCACATCTCTACAAGATGCCTCTCCACTTTCACAGCATGTAAAATTATTATAAAAAAGGGTCCACTTTTCACATCAGTCTCTCTGGTATCTTTCAATGACTTGAAGACTAAGGGTATTTAACTTCAAAACAGACTTTAAAAAAAGGAAATTTTCTTCAAATTAAGCATACAGTTATCTGATTTAAGTAATCTATTTTAGGAGGTCTATTTCAAAATATATTTTTAATTTTATTCATTTTTATTTGAAAAACAGCAAAATGTTTAAAGCTTTATTATCTTTTTTTCTCAAATTGATCTAAAAGCTAAATTATCATTGCAAATAAATCAAATCAATTCTAACTGGCATCTCCAGCATTAAGAAACAAGCACGAAGGCCTTAGCTACAGTGATTAAATTCTTCTGGTTCTCTATGCAACAGAGTTAAAGATGCTTAGAAATCAAACTCATACAATCAGAAAAGCTGTGTAGGAAAAGGACAAAACAAGTCAAAACTTGTCTTCATGCTACGATTACCCAGTGAAGGATCCCATTACTGACTAAATTCTTCAAGATTTGTTTTCCCACATGGAATTTCTTCCTTACCAGCAAGAAATATATATGCATTGTAAAGTCATCTATGAATGCAGCAGACAGTATTAGCCTGGGCAGAAATGGTTTAATTACACAAGCCAAATATTAAAAAAAAAAAAAAAAAAAAAAAAAAAAAAAAAAAAACCACAAAACAAAACAAAACAAAAAAAGTTGGAATGTAAAAAAAGTAACCTGGATGGTTTTTTTTTGAGTAGTTTTGAAATGTTGAAATGTGTGGGGTTTGATTAAATACTCGGTTTGGTTTGAAGAAATTAAAATTCATTTTATGACCACATGGTGAGTTGACACGAAGAGTCGGCTCCTACCTACACTATCACTATGCTGTAACTGACTATATCGGCATGAGAACTAGACCTCTTCCCCGCCTGCGCTGATACCGGTCAGACACCCAGGTGAGATGGGTGTCTAAAGAGAAGAGAGGCCACCCCGGCAGCCGCGGGGACACGGCGGGGACAGCCCGGCAGCCGCGGGGACAGGGCGGGGACACGGCAGGGACACCTCGGCAGCCGCGGGGACGGGGCGGGGACACGGCGCGACCCCCGCGCGGCTCCCGCGCCCCGCCCGCCCCGCCCCGCCGCGCCCGCGGCCCGCGCGCCCCCTGCCGGCCGCAGCCGCCATCCCCGCGCTGCGCAGCAACCGCGGCCTGGGCTGGGCAGAAGAGGGAAATCCGCTCCCCGCATAAAAATCACCCTTCGTGCCCTGCCCGTCTTGGTCCCGGCCTGCACCACCACCCAGTAACCCCTGGCGCTACGCCAGAATACGGAAAACTGCTGCCTTTCACCACGTGCCCCAGTACCGCAGGCAGAAGCCACTCGCTTATGCGTACATGCTAACTCGGTCCATATGGTTTTGCTTCCTCTTCTGTCCTTCGCAACACAAAAAACATTTCATCCTATAGTGAAAATGTAAATCTTCCCTAACGAAAAGGCATGCCAAAGGAAATCTGACTGGGAGCTTGCCTCATAGTGACAGCACAAGCATGCAGCCTCCCAACTGGATTTGTGCCATCCTTAGTCATGCACAGCTGGTGTTTGCTCACTAAAATACTCTGTTCATAAACAAGCAATCCCTACCCTATTATTGCTGCCATCTATTAATTCAACTTGTTTCTACTACAATAAATTGTCTCTGGCCAGGCAGCTTTCATAAATAGTCATTCTAGTCTGAATATGAATTGTCCTGGCACAACACCCAAAAATTCTTCCCAAGTGCTCCTAGGGGAGCACAACTGACTGCTGGTACATCAAAAGAATGAAAAGAATCAGCTGTCAAACTAAGCAAGCAATTAACACAGAACACAAGGGTAAAACTTTAAGTTATTTCTTAACACAGAAAGAACACTGTATAGATTTATAGGCCTTGGTACAGGCCCAAGAGCTTATATATTTCTTAACTAATCCATGTACAACAGGTAACCCAGGGAACCAAAAAAACTAATATTGCTAGGAAGGCATAAGAGACTGCCTGGCTTGTCTTCCCTGGCTCTGAATCAAGAAACAAAACAACCAACCAAAGAAAAACAAAATAAAAAAAAATCCACCAAACTACTCTGTCTTGGACATGGTATCTAGGCATCTAAATGAACTTCTGTCTTGAGTTATTTACTCTGTAACCATGAGGTAAAAATACGCAAAGCAGACTGAGCACCAGCATGCAAGACTTTGAACACTGAAATTCTAATCCTGACTCTGCCAACAACGCTGTGTGACCATGACAATGTCCAAGGCTCTGCTGATGGCTTAGTATTTCAGGCCATCACTACAATAACTGAAAAAGCTGCCATGTTAAAAAAAAATAAAATACATGTATCAGTAGGAACAGTGTGGTTTTTGTTGTTTTTTCACTAAAGAAAGTAGATTTTTAAAAGATGGAAGGATTTTCGTTTTCTTTTATCAAGAGGACAAAAAAATCCTTTACGCTTTGACTGGTAATCCTCCAACTTATGATACACCAAACAATAAGATGTCACAGCAATAACTTCAAGTAGCAAGAATCTAACCCTATCTCCTCTTAAAGGAGAGCATCTTTCACAGATCTCACTCACCAGAAAGCAGATGTTTTCAAGAGTCTTTAACCTGTTTTATCTTAGAAAAAGACCACCAGTGACAAGCATAGAACTTGTAACATAGACTATGAAGGAAGCACAGACCTTTATAGTCATGGTGACCTATTTTCCTCCACAAGTCCTTTCTTTCCTCCTTCAAGCAGTACATCAAATTCAAGATCAGTTTCTATCAATTTGTGTTTTGCTTATGAGACATAAGGACAGTTAATGAAGTTGCAGGGGCCTTCTGAAGCTCTGATCTACTAACAATCATTACTGCTTCTTCTGAAAGAGAAAAGCTTACAACAGCAATGAAGGAACAAAAACCATGACAAGGCAAGGCACCATCAATAGTCACTAGATGTAAAATAAAGGCATCCATTGCTGCATACCTGAGGACAAAGAAATTCACTATAAAATACAGCAGGAGGCACCAATGGACTCTGAAAAACAACCTCCTTATTTACTTCATTCACCATTGCAAAACTGAAAATTGCAATGATTTATAGAATTCAGAGCACTGGACAGTTCCAGTCTGGAAAAAGGTCACAGAGATTTTAATTTTAAAACCTTATCTCACAAAATTAATGAACTGAAATCAATGTGAGTACACAAATGAACAAACCAGCAACTTCAAGCCCAAAGGTTAAACATAAACATAACACATGCCATTAATTATCTTAAGGAAAATAAACCACAGAAGAAAAAATATATTAATGCATGAACCAACAAGACAGTTGTTTATTTAATGCACTTTAATTTCATACTTTCTAATTTGGAACTACATCAATGCACCATTTCACCACAGTAACAGCTTGCTAACCTGTGCTAACCAGTTCACACAATTCACAGCTATTTCATCAATTCCAGCTGCTCTTCATTATTTAACATCCACCAGATGCTGGCCTCCAACTTCACACACCACCACATAATTTTAACATCAGAACGCCTAAAAAAGGGCATAATCCCAAAACTTGCATATGTCAGAATTACAAAGGGATACTTTATCTAAATATATTTTTAAATGCATAAAACTGCATGTTTGAGAAGTATCAGACACCATCTCAAAAGCCCATAAGCTGGTACAGAAAGTTATGTGCAACTGGTTGACACTGTTTCCATGGAGCTACTCAATGATCATCTCACAAACCAGATCACATTGCAGAGTGGTTTTTTGGGTTTTATTTTGCAAAAGTATTAGAGCAAATGCCGTGTTTTAAACTTGATTAGAAGGAACCATTTAAACAGTTCTGCTTTTCAACATGACAGATTTTTCTCTGAGATCGAATTATTCCAACGCCTATTTAAAACACAGAATGTTTCATTTCACAGACTGTGAAATAACAAGATCAGATGCCATCACAAAGAGTACATACTTCATATAACAGTTTAAACACTCTTCTTATTAAATGTGACTGAATTTATGGAAAAATTTTTAAATCTTTTAGAAAATTCCTCCAAGAAGTTTGCAGATTGCATGTAGCCCTCACTCCTACCTGTTGTTTTTTGTTTTACTTGTCTTTTACAAGAAGATGCTACATTTGCCTGATTAAAGTACTTGAGTATACTTTGTATTTAATGTTTTATGAGTGCAAAGCCTGCATCATACATCCTCCCATTGCAAAGGAGACTTGCTTCTGAGTTTATCTGTGTGGCAATAATGTGCACAATGGAACTACTCTCAGTCTACAGCAGCAGGTGGACAAAAAGAACACCTGTGGTTTTTACTCTTGAATGGCTCCTACCATCTATTTATAGTCCAGGCAACAGTTTTAGTAGTACTGAGCTGGGAAATCACTCAAGAAATTTTACTTCCAAGCTTTAGGGAAGATACATCGTTTTTGGGGTTTTTCACCTTAGCTGTATCAAAAGTATTTTGATACATAATTTCTCCAGAAACAGGAAATCTGTGAAGCTATAAAAAAAAATGGTTTGGACACTATTTAGCACAAACTCCTATTTTTTTCAAGTCAGTGTTCTGAAGTGGTAGATTTATTTATTGTCTCCAACCTGCAGAAGCATTCTCTATGACATCTATACATCCTTCCAGAACTGCAGTTCAACTCAGTGACACACCAGGGAAAGGACAGAGCTAAACCCAGAAGTAGGATGAGATCTACTAAGCTATTCATGGTACTGATAAAATATAAACAAACTGACAGAAACTCAAAAGCCCACCAAAACAAATTAGAAATTAACTAAATAAAAGTGTTAATTACATTAAGTGTACGTGACTGCCCTCAGCAGTAACCATTTTATTTATGACACACATTTCACATTAAGGCTGATAATTAAATGTTCACCTACCGAATCATTTGCTGCTAGGGCGAGGGCTATATTTACTGTAAGGAAGAAGAGGAGGAAAAACAAAAAGATTAAGTGCAGGAAAACTTAATTCCTAAATATTAAGAATGTTATCACTGCTAACAAGAGAAAATATTCAGTAATGATGCCATGCAATACTTTTGTTTATATAATTTATCTGAAATTCAGTTGTTCATCTGAACCATCAAATTTATCCTCATGGTAATAAGCAAGAATATAGATTTCCTTCTCAATATTACTAATTAAAACATAAATTTTAAAAAGCTGTCCATTACAGACACATGTAAATGCTTCATTTACATTTCCAATATCTTATTTAATGCTTGTTGAACCCTGATTTTTTATTTTTAAATGCACAAGAATGAACTCACAGTTCTAAGTATTATTTATACATGTGTTAAATTTTATGTAGAAATTACACACAGATACCAGTTACAAGAATTTAAATTCAGGTATTTGTTTGCAGACACAAGGAGAGTAATCTGAATTTGCTTTTCAAATTATTTTCATTTTGTAAACTGTCAATTGAGGAACAGGTATTTGGTATTTTTAGCAACCTACAACAACCAGTCTATGTATTATAATGAAATACCTTTTGATGGTTAAGAAACACAAGTTTTAACTGTTTTGCATGTTTTTGTACAGGTAGGGGTATCCTATGTATAGGACAGATAATAGCTAAATAGAAAAAAAAACACTTTTTTTTAAGAAGTTACTTTTAGTACAGATATCATATTAGTCTGTTCTAGAAATTATTACTCAATTAGTCTGTTTCAAGCACGGCTGAACTACAAACCCCAAAATTATACATTACGAGCTACATCCATGTGCTATTCACAACACACGGAGATGAACAGCAGATATCCTTCAACTAAAGCATAACTCTTCTCCAGTCTAGATGCTAAGAAAGAGATCTTTAAACACATTTCTAACACTTTACTGAGATCTTTTCCAAGAACTTTACTTTCAGTGTGATAGTATCATAGGATGGTTAGGGTTGGAAGTGACCCTAAGGATGACCCAGCTCCAAACCCCTGCCATGGACAGGGACACCTTCCACTGGACAAGGATGTCCAAAATGCATCTAACCTGGCCTTGAATACTTCCAGGGATGGGACAACCACCCTTGTCTGGGCAATCTGTTCCAGTGTCTCACCACCCTCACAGCACAGAATTTCTTCCTAGCTGCTAACCTACATCTCTCCACTTCTGATTTAGAACAATTCACCCTTGTCCCACCTGCCCACATAAAAAGTCACAATCCTTCCTTTTTGTAAGCCCCTTTTAATTACTGGAAGGTTCTCCAACAGTCTCCCTGAGGCCTTCTCTTCTCCAGGCTAAACAACCCCAACTCTCTCAGCCTGTCTTCACAGCAGAGGTGCTCCAACCCTCTGATCATACTTGGACTTGTGGGACACACTCTCACAGGTCCTTCTTACGCTGGGAGACCCAGACCTGTGCAGCCATCCAGACAATTCCTAATCCACCAAGTGGTCCATCCATCAACTCCCAGTCTCTCCAGTTCAGAGACAAGAATGTCATGCAGGACAATGCCAAATGTTTTGCAGAAGTCCAGGTTGATGATACCAGTCATTCTTCCCTCAACCACTGTAAGGCACAACAAATGTTTTCCCATTCTGTCATCTGTTTAAGTTCAAGTCAATTTCTGCAGTACTGGTAACACATGTACTATCTCATTCAACCACCTAGGAACAGGTGGGAGAGAAAAAATTAGACAAAAATTAATTCAAAACCTAATGGTGGAGTTGAGAGGAGTTCAAGGTACTTCACAAAGCTCTGATCAATTTGTGTGGTTTATATGTACTGCTTTATTTTTTCTTTATAAAACACCTACATATGTAGTTGAGAAAATTGAACAGAGTCCTGATCTGGAAACTTTCTAAATATTAGCATCCTCTACAGAGAAAGGCACTGTATAGGCACACCTAAGGAGCCAGGGAAGGAGGAACAGTGTCGCTGCACTAACATATGATCCCTTTCACCTCAGCCTACATCACCTCTTAAGATGCCTTGATATCTCAGGACACTGCTGCACTATTACAAAAATATGATTTCAAAGCTAAATTCACACCTAAGTTAAAGCCAAGATTTCTGTATCCAAGTAAATTCTTAATGGCTGCAACAGGACTTGTCAGAGGTTAAGTGTTATGGAACTTAATCACGAGGTAATGACACAAGCACCTCAATATTCCATACAAAATACTAGAAAATATGCAAAGGAAATTATTTAAAAAATAAAGAAATCTTACCTGCTGTTGTTGACTTTCCAACTCCCCCTTTTCCGGAAGCCACAACCACCACCTGCTTAACCCCTTCTATGGGCTTCTGCTTTGGCAGCCCTCGCGACAGGATCCGCGCACGTTTGTCCCTCAGAGCCTCATCCCCCGAGCTTGAGGACTAACAAAACAAAAAGCAAGTGAATGCATGTGCACCAACCCGCAGGTCTCGCAGAGAAGGCTGACAGGAGGGAACCTACACGCACACTGAGAAATTTTCACCACTTGTCTAGAAAAACATTCTGCACAAGGGCTCTCCCAAAGGGAGCCTGCTTCACAGGCAGGCAAGGACTGGGCCAACTTAAAATAACACCAGTCACATATTTTTTTGACAAACACTTCAATATGCTTGATCTTAACAGTCAAAGAAAAAAACCGCATTGAAATAAACCAAAACGCTGCTTAAAAGTCGGAAGCTTTGTGAAACAGACTAGACTTGGCGGTCCTTTCGGTACAGCTGTTTCAGGCACAACAGAGTAACAGCGGAGGAGCGGGAGCCCGACGCGCTGAGGGCAGGAGGCGCCGAAGGCTGTCCCTGCCCTGAGCCGGGCCACAGGAGAGCCACACGCGGGGTCCCCACGGCAGGACGAACGGAGTAGCCGAGCCGAGCATCCCATCAGGCAGCGTCCCACCTGCTCCGGGCTGGCACAGCGGTACCGCCACGGGCGCTTAGCGCCGCGCACTGCTCCCACCGAGTTCAGGCGAGTGCGGGTAAAAAGCGGGTACAGCCCGTGCATCTTCCTCTCCCGGCCCGGCGGTGCCCCAGCCCGGCCCCCGCCGCCGATGGCCGATGTCAGCAGCGACCGCATCCCCTCCCGCTGGGACTCAGCTGCTGAACCGGCTGCCGCAGGACACGGCCCGGCAGGGCACCCGAGCACGGACAGAGCCCCCCAAGCACAGGCACAGCCCAGCCCGGCCCTCGCCCGCCCCGTTCCGCTCCCGTCTCACTCACCGCGGAGCCGGCGGACGGAGCGCCGCAAGCGGCGGGCGTGCAGCCCGGGCGGCCCCGCCGCGCCGCCGGAGCCGGAGTCCTCCCGCCGCCGGCGCCGGGCAGGTGGCGGGCGGCGCGCAGCGCCCAGAGCCAGGCAGCGCCTCCCATGCCCGCGGCCGCCCCGGGCGCGCTGAGATGGCGCTGAACGGCCGCGCCTCGGCCCGCCCCCCGCGCCTCGGCCCGACCCCCGCGCCGCGCTCCGCCCGCGCCTCGGCCCGCCCCCCGCGCCGCGCTCCGCCCGCCCGCCGCCGGGGCCGGCGCTGGGTGGGCTCGGCAGCCCCGGGCCCGCGCGCGGCTTGCGGAGCTGAAGGTGCGGCGCTGAGAGGTACCGGGGCTCCGGAGCTGCGGGAAGCGATCCGCGCCCTCCCGCCGAGCAGCGGCCCTGGGGAGCAGCAGCACGGAAAGCAGATCCCTGCCGCTGTCTGTATGGAAACCGGGGGCGCGGGATCAGCAGCGAGTGACCGCCCGCAATGCAAACTTGCCCGGGCTAATTCCTCTTATGCTGCAATTGTTCCAGCAGAGGCTCCTTCGGCTCGTCGGTGCCTTCTGAATTCTCATCTTGGCCCGCAAAATGGTTTGGCAAGAGCTCAGTCCCTCTTGGTTTGTGTCCTCTTCAAATATTATAAATACATCCCATTTTCTCCTTTAGATCATTACGTAAAAGAACTGAGACCTGTAGCCGAGACAGGCGCCACCTGTTTGGTGCTTTCTTTGCTTATTTTGATTTGGATTTTTTAGTTGGTTGGGTTTTTTTTTTTTTTTTTAATACTAAAGCACAGAATCTCAGAAGTTGGAAGGCCACCACCGTGGATCATCTGGTCCAACCTCCTTGCTCAAACAGGGTCATTCTAGAGCACATGCCACAAGATCGCATCCAGATGGTTCTGAAATATTTCCAGTGAGGGAGACTCCACAGCCTCTCCTAGAAATCTGTTCCAGTGCTAGGTCAGTTGTTCTTCCTCAAATTCAGGTGGAACTTCCTGTGCATCAGTTTCTGCCCATTGCCACTTTTCCTATTGTTTGGCACTGATCATTGTTCTGGTGATAGTTTGGTCTTCCATCCAGTTTACCCTCACTCATAAAGAGTTCATCAAGACCCATTTCTGTTCCTTATGTCATGTGAGATTTGCTTAAAGCTTTAAGACTCGTCATCTCCCACTTTTCTCCCACCTGCAAGCCTTGTAACCACCTTGTGGTTTGACATGATTTGCTCTTAAAATTCCATGAATAAGCTAAGTGATATTATAGAAATAATTCAGATCTTAGCAATTTCAGGTCATTAGTTTGCAAATATAAAATACAGTGTAGACAGAGTCTTTTGTTGGTGTCAGTCATAATATGTAATGGACCAGAGGATTTTACATCAGTTTAAAGTGTTATTATAATACATATTTCCCCACTTTCCCAATGAGCAGAATTGTCACCATTTTAAATGTTTCTTTTTAAATTATATTATTAAAAGTTCTAATCAAGCATTTTGCTAAACCTCACCATTTCCAAAGGCATGTTCCAGTGCTCAGCTACAACACAAATTACAATGCTGAAAATAGGGGTTTTTTTCCTATCCTTGAAGTGATTCTCATTCAGCCTACATTTTTGATATACCCACATGAGCGTATTTTGCCTATCAACAGACACCTGTATTGTGCATGTCCACAGACACCTGAAGAGGTCAAATCCTTTCCCAATCATTTACCCTTCTGTCAAACTAAACTGAAAAAGAATACGGAAAAAGCTGCTTTGTTTTGAAACAATGATACAGACTCCAGGGCTTTTTTTCACTGCCTCTGGAAATCATGTTACCTTTTGCATTGCAGGAAATTTGCATAATTGTTTTCCCTGCCTGGAGCAGTTGGAGGCAGTGTTAAAGTGCAAGATACCGTGCACATCACATCAACGGGCTTGGTACTGCAGGATCATGGCTAGGCATACACTTCAGATATGAGTCACTTCAAGGTCTTCACAGAGAAAAGAACATGGTGAAAATGTACAATTCACTTCTTCATTTTGACAATAGCTCCAACACTGACAACAATAATATGGAAATATTTTTGTGGGGTTTTGCAAAGCTGATCTAGCACAAGCTAAAATTGAGCCAACAGTCCTCAATATTTTTAGTTTTAATAATTTATTCTAGCACTAGTTTGTCAACTGCCCTGATAGGTAGCTAACTTGGCAGTAGGTTGCATTGAATCTGAGGATGAAATGTTGTATTTGGCAATTAGAAAGGGAATCTATTTGTTCAGCAACACAGCAGGTATTTTCAAAATGCCTTGACTTCAGTGGAATACACTGCAGTTTGGTTGGGTAGTGTTTCTATCTCTACTAATTGTGACGACAATTTCATGGATTGTGCGCTTCTCACATTTGCTTTTGGCTTCCCATTTAAATTTTAACATTTGAAAATATTGTTCTATGTGGTTTGACTGCTATATTATTGCACAACACAACATACAATGGTAAAACATGAGTCTAGGAAAATGCAACTAAAAATTAACAAAATTTTTACTGCCAGACTTGAGTCTTGATGGAAACTACAGGTAATCTCGGAAAAATTCCACTTCTCTTTTCAAAAGTGTAACAAAATGAAAGATGCAATATTTAATTTTAATGCAAATTGATAATGTTGTCTCTAAGAAAAGTAAGAAAATATTTCATAGACTCTAAATTGCTATTCAACCTGAACAATACCATGATAATAATAGAACTGATTTTTGTGTGAAATTAGATTGCCTTGTGTTTAAATATATTCTTTCCCTACCCAAAATCAATTAAGAGTATGCAGGTATAGCTAGGAAAGATCCCTTACCAAAAAAACTCCAAAATTTTAAAATGAAACATTTGAAAAGTGACTTGGTAGATAATAATGTTGGTTTGTGTGCAGCAGGATGTGAGTGACTTTTACAAAAAAAAGTATCCATTCTCATTTCTGGATGTCTGCATTGTATCACATTAATAACATATTAACTGCAAACTCTTTCTCACATAAGCTATTTATTTCAGACACTGTTTGAACTAGAAAGTATATTAAAGAATAGCAAAAGGAAGATTCTTCAGAACCAAGGGGTCATTTTAGCTTTGTGACCAGGTCTGCAACCTTTGGCCACAGAGGTACACCATTGCATACTGGGATGAGTGCGTGTGGCATGGAAGTCTCAGATTCTGGGATTTTTCCCCCCAGCTGGTTGGGCACCCCTGATACCTTTAAGATAAATAAGGTAAAAAATGTTTTTTCATCTCTTTTTGTCATGTGGTGATAATTACTTGGTTCAGGGCTCTGCCCTGGTTAATGAGCCTTGGGCTCTGAGCATTACCTCTTGGCTCAGCCACTATTGCCTCACTGTGTCTCAGGACAGCTGCCACCTCCTCCCTTTGGCAGCTCTGAGACCATGCTAGAGCAGGCTCTTGCCAAAACAGCATTCTCCTGTGGGGCTGACAAACTGTCAGGCTGCAGAATAATCCAAGCCAAAACACCTACCAGCGTGAAGTCTTTGTTTTATCTTTGCTGTGCTCCTCGTGGAAGTGAAACCAACTTCCACATTGTTTTACTTAATGCTGAAACACTGGGGCATGGTGGCATACCTGGGGGTAACAGGCTCCAGATATATCAATAAGGCACATCTCAAAAATGTGTAAATAGGGAATTTCAGGCATTAGAGGGAAAGAACTGCAGGCATATATGAGGAGAGCTCTTCTGTGTTATGATATTACCTCTCTGTCATTCACTGGACTTTTTCTTCTAAAATATTTTTCCTGCTAGGCTTAGACCAAGGTCAACATCACTAACATCACTGCATGGAAGCAGCTATGCCCACTTGTTACAAAGGAAATTTGGCTCAAGGGATTTTAACAGATTCTGATTTCAAATATCCATTCAAAACAAGGCACATTAACCTGAGTTTTCATATAAAATATTACCTGGTTTAAGAAGAAATTTGTTTATTATGTGGAAGTACTTGAAAATGCAACACCCTTAACAAGCACAAAGAACACACACAAGAAACAGTAAAAATTTAATAATTTTTCTTTATCATGTGTAATAGCATTGCCAGTAAATATGAGACCACACAAGTAGCTTCATCCAATGTGAAAGCTTTGCCAAATCTAAAACTGAAAAGAAATTGTTTGCTTTCATTCAGTTTCACTAAAGGAAGAAGAAGGTATTGAAGTGTCCTCGTTACATTGCAAGGGTTCCATATTGCTAGAGTTTCGTACCTCCTTGATGTTCCTCATAGGCAACTCCTCCAGACACCAACTCTCCCTTATCCTCACAGCAGCCAACCGATCCACTCTTTTTAACACTCTTCTGATTGCCTACAGCTGTGGCCTGTTAACATCAGGCCTGCTCCTAATATTTTATCATTAACCCAGCTGCAATTCCTTAGGGGGCAAATTTACTTTCTATATTACCTTTATTTACTTACATTCTGTCCCCCTACATTGAAGAACTGATACCGATTTAGTTTATATATTGCTTTCCTGTGGAATTTTAAACAATGCAGTCTTTCACAGTCAAGAAGAGATGAAAACCTTATTTAAATTGTTACTAGACTCTTCTGAAGTCAATCACCAAGTTCTTTATGTTAACATTGATTTCTATAGTAACAGTCACATCACAATGAAGATGCAGCTTATATTACAGCAATTTTTCCTACCTTTAGGAAGTGGTGCAGAAAATTAAAGGAATATGCTCTTCTGTAACAAAGCCACATCATTTTTCTTAGGTACTTTATATATATAGATGATCCCTGCAGGAATGGAATTAACACAAATTAACAGTATTTCCACATCTGAAGATAAAAACAAAGGTTTTGAAACTATTCCTATATATTTTACCAACATTGAAGTAAGACTGTCATTTTCTCTCTGTTCTTCTTTCATATATTTTATTTTAGTAATGGAGATAAATTGCTATTATAAGTCTCGGGTAGAAAGAGTCCTGTTGCTTTAGACAGCATACAAATACAGAATAAAAAAAGATGGTGACTTTTCTATAAGCTTCAGTAAGTCATTTGACACTACAGATCTAAGTCAAAATGACATTCACAGTTTCAGTTTCTGAAATTACTTTAATTCTGCTCTTCGTTCATTTTTCTCAGTAGCAAGTT